TGGACAGTCGCTGTTTGGGGGAGGGGTTTAGTGAATGTTCAATTGCACACCAACAATGGATACACCCACCACATTGCTTACTCCAATACTAATGACAATTCTTTTTATTTTACAATATCACAGGGTTAACGGACTCTTTATAGCATGGATTTTTATTCATAGATAATCACTTGTGTCAACAGGAATCAGTGGGATAAACAAGGATGTGTTATTTCCTGCGATCCGAACCCCCATATGGAGAGGTCTAAAGCTGTCCGCAGTACTATTATTGCAACTGCTGACAGCCTTAAAAACATCCTGCCCTTTTTACACACAGATTATATCCTCCTCCTTAACAAGCACAACAATAGCCATAAACAAACCTTACATGGGCCCTTCAGTAGCCCAACCCCTAATTGAGACAAGTGGGGATAAAATCGTGAAAGAACAGTCTGATTGGCGCTGGACAGGTATGCCAATGACCTCTGACCCCAAACCAGGCCTGTGCTGACATGAAAAGTGACCCGTGGTGACCTTTAGGGTTCACTACAGGCCCTCGGTGATGCTTTCCCACATGGGCCTGCCTTTGATGTCCAAAGGCATCTTTTCCCATGGCCCCGCCAGTCAAAACCTCTCAGGACCTGAGCAGAGCAGGGGTTAAGAGGCTACCTGAGGAGAGGTCAGGCCACACCAGAGGTTACCCACCACACAGCTATTCCTTCTTCCTTTAAGACACCTCTAAAAATAATTCCCCCTCCCTAATATCTCCCCCGCCTCACCCCACAAACACACACAAACTTTCACACATGCTGATGTTTTCCTTATTTGGGGAGAGTTAAAAAGCCTTTGCGGCTAATTTGGAAACATGACAGATAATGTTTCAGTGTTTGTGTTTATTTGTGTATGTGTGTGTTTAAGTGCGTATCAGCGTGGCGTGGCTTTCTGGGCCCGTGTTCTCAGAGTGGGCAGCTGCCAACCATAACTTTCTCCGAATGCAAGACCAGGGAAACTCTGGACCGGAGCAGGTTACACTGCTTGTGCGATATCTCCTCATGTTTACAAGCCTGCATTAATCGATGAATTCCTGATGATCAAGTCTAAAAGAAAACCCACAAGGCCTCATTGTCTGGCAACTCAATCAACATAACTGACATTGGCAGGCTTTGTTTGTCTGAGAGGAGCAAGGCTGCTCTTCCTGCTGAGCTGCAGGGCGGTATTATGACCCTCCTCTAATTATGGGGTTTTCTTTCTCAATCACTGTCAAGGCATGCACAACACCATGAGACACCTGGCTTCATTCTGTTTCTGCAGACCGCACCGGCCGCCACATATCCAGGCTGACAGTGAAGAGCGCACAGATGACTTTTAGGGTGCTTTGAGTGATTTAACATTAGCGCTTCAGAAGATGATGGCTTAATGGTCCCATTTATGATGCCCGTGTGAAATGGTCTTCACAGACATAAAAGCTTCATTATGAAGAATGTAGCCTATTTTTTTCTAGATCATATTTCTATTAAGGATCCATGCACACGTTGTTCGTTATGTTCAGTATGCATGTATGAAGTCTAATTGCCACTAAAAGATGGCGCATGTTTGCATCATTCAAACCTATCCATTAGGAGAATGTAAATGTATCTGCATTACCATCATTACAGTTGAGAGGTTATTCCAGTCCATTGTAGGCTCACACAGACTCAAGCAATTATAATATTAAAAGAGCAATTATGCTTTAGTTGGGAGTATTCACACATCTGCAGCACTGGTATGTTTCAAAGTTACCGTCATGGCGAGGCTGGCCGTGGAGGATCGGACCTGTTAATGGGGAAAATTACAGAGAAAGTCCATTAACCCTTAACACAGTCATCTGCACCATGTGCATCTTTAAAGAAAGGCCGGTGAACGTTCACTTAAACTAGCCACAGCAGTTTAAACAAACCGTTTACAATAATTACACGCAGAACGTATAAAGCACAAAGAAATTAACATATCTCATAATTATATATCCTTCCATCCCAGGATGTTATGTGACTATCTCACGACATGAATTTCTCCAACGTCCTATCCATTATCCATTGTTTAACCCTTTGGGGGTATCGAGAGCCATCAAACACCCCGAGCAGGCCCACACTTGTCTCGACCACCGCCGGATTCATTTTCCCTGCCACTTGGCAGCAGGTGAGATCTGCAGACAGCTGGAGAGGTGATTGGCTGGCCGTCATGATTGATGCACAAACAAGTGTTTTAAGTGCGGACAAGTGGCTGAGCCTTTTACAACATCCGGGGAGGCAGAATAGAGTGAAGGAGAGGGACAGAGAATGAAGCATAGTCTGAGCGGTCACACGGGGGGAGGTGAATCATCTTCCTGCCTGGTTAATATGTTACATAGGAAGTGTCATAACTTTTGTGATGAAGGGTGGAGCCGGAGTACCGGGTCAAGGGTGTACTGAAGGGTCAGGTAGATAACAGTGTTTGTGGGAAGCTTCACTTTGCAACATCAATTGAGACACCGATGTTGCACAAAAAGGAAACTAACTTACAGTATCAAGCTCACATGGAACATGAGCTGCTTACAGTGAAAATGACATTTGCGTTCCCTCTCCACACAAACATGTGTTTTTCTTCTTGTTCCCACAGTGTGATGTTTGATCTTCACTGTGCAGAATGATGTATGTGCATAGTTTGACACTAGAGGAGGAGATCCTTACATTTTAAAACTCATCACAACACGACCGCTGTTCACTCAATGGAGTGAAAAATGCTTATATTCAGAAACTTGATATACAGCCCAGTGGATGTGCACCTATTGTCGAACATTCTCGGTGGAGAAATATAAGTGTTGTGAAACCTTCCTGTGGCCAGAGTTTCTTCTTATCCAGAAAGAGGAAGTAATTCATAGACGTATTATGTAAGCCAACTCTTTTGCCACAGTGCTATTTTCCCTTGTGGCCAGCGCGCAGTGCTGGACCGATGTGTGAAAGGAAAAGGGGGCAAAAACTTGAGCGACTGTGACAAAAGCTCATCAGATACGGGGCTGCAAGGCAATCTCGGACATAGAAACCGGGATGTCCTGCTCTACAGTACGAACCTGTTGCCCTCTCCTCAGGGGAAACTGAGACTTCCCGAGACTGGAACGAGCAGCTGGTCTCAAAGCAAGCGCTGCAACTAATAATCTGTCCTTCTGACAGATGAGGTTAGGTGGCTGTCATTTGAGCCCTGCTGATCATGCAGGCAGGGATATATGCAGCCCCACAGAGATGCGCTCACTTGTGGCATTTCATAGGCCTGCGGTCACTGTCACACTCATTGCTTTGGCTCTCTCCACTTTCACACACCTCTCCAATGCCCCTGACTGAGCATGAACTCGCACACTCCTCTCTGCACCGTTCAGGACACTATTAAACCCCTGGTGCTTAAACTACTATTACTATGGTGTCACTACTGTAGCTATAGATGTGTCACACATTCAGGTGCAGATTCAATAATATGAAGAGTTATAAGAGAGCCTTAAAACGGGACTTAATAGTGTGATCAATGTTTACACACTCACATATACACAAACTGGTTGCAGTGTACTAATCTGTCCATTATTTTAACTAACACTTTCACATGTGATGATTGATGGTTGGCATGGTTCAGCACCCATTTTGCATATTGTCTCAAGCATGTCAGGTATTAAAGGAATTTGCCCTGGGCATCCCAAAAGCAAGTACGAACACTCCTGTGCTCTCATTCACATTCCAGTCAGCCAGGGTGACCTGCAAACACTTTAAAATAGTACTTTGTGAGCAAGATGGCGTAGGTTTGTATTAAACTTTATTTTTGTGTGCAGATCTGCCATGCAATTTGCATTTAAGAAAGGAATTATTTATACATGCGTGCAAATGTTTGGATGATAGTGTGGACTAGTGCAGCTGCCAGAAGTCCATTCAAGTAAATAAATAACAATTAAATAAACATCTCTTCCTTATCAATTAACTTTCCTCCAGTTTGATAGAGATGTATTGTCATGTTACATGTTTATGAAACACTATCAGCGTGACTTTTTACAACTTTTTTTTACAACAACTTGACATTTCAAAGGAAAACACAACTTAGGGCAGAGAGAGAGAGAGAGAGAGAGAGAGAGAGAGAGAAAAGTCAGACAATAGCATGCGCGGGAAAAGGAGGGCGTGGAGAGGAGGAGCAGAGAGAGGGGGAGGAGGAGGTAAATGGAAGTCTTTTTATCTCTAGTTTCCCACATCCTGTGAAGGGCTGCAAACGCGGCCACCCAGTTTGAAAGAATGAGTGGAATGCGCCTATTCTCTCCTGCGCGCTTTGATGCGCAGCCAGTTGAGAGGCATTGTCAGGCAACTCAAATAAAGACCACAGTCCTAGACTTCACTACAGCCTATAAAGCTCTGTGTTTAATGTGAAAATAATCAGGTAGGGGCTAGAATAGCTGGAATGCAATTGATGAACTGCTCTCAGGTTGTAAAGGCCTGTTTGTGTCTCTTTGTGCAAAATGTCTTTATTAAGCCATGCGGCTGCTTTAGTGCAGCCATCAGCACCGGTCTGTTTCTGTTCTCAGACACAACAAGAGAAGCTGGAAGAAATAAAAACTTACAGAGACTTTAATATCGAATGTGGCGAAATTATTGTTTAACATAGATTATACGTCCAGTTTAAATAAAGAGCTGCCGGCCAATTATAGTTTTCCTATTAATAATAATCTATTCATATCTTCTATTCCTGAGTCAATTTCCCGCGAAAGGATGAGACGGGGGGAGCACTTGGCTTTGGATTTGCATTTCTCTCCGACTTGAATTCATAATTATTACTTTGCCCCCCCCTCCTTTTTACCGCGTTTTTATTCCCGCCACGTCTGTGTCTGGCCCAACCGGTTATGAGGTTGGCTTTATTTTCGTTCGCAACTCGTATCTGCAGTTCTATTGGTGCAGAGAGCGGAAGGGGGCGGGGACACGGGTGACGTCCAGAGCCTCGCACCGCCTCTTACTACTGTGTTATAACCGTCCTCCCCCCTCCCGCTCGTTATGTCCAAGAGCCGCTGTTTGACGGAGGCACTGGTCGTTTCACCGTCTTTTCTGTTTATATCGTGAATTTCACTCTGTTTACAAAACATTGCGGGAACCAGCCGGTGTTTACATCCATACTCCGGGACGAACTTTTGGGCTATATTTTTTTCCTGGATCACAAGCAAGCAAGATTTTCTTCCCTCCGGATGAGAGGATCCCTACCGCATTATTGTCGCTGCAACGTGGACTTCTTCACGGGAGACGGGGGAGTCGCACTATCGGAATAAGATTGCTCTTACAAACCCAGACTTAAAGAAAGAAAACGAAGAAACCAACACAACGTCGTTGACCTGTGGTGGATATTATTAAGGAATGCTGCTGTCCAAGCTCAATTCTCTGGCCCACATCTCCACCGTAGACATGCCGGCGAAAATCCAGCTCCAAGTTCACCAAGGTTAGTCGCCCTTTTTCCACTCTGTCGTCATGGAGGACGGAGCTGCAGCAATGGCTGGCAGCCCGCTCCTCACCGCGGCTCAGTCCAACCATGGGCTACTACTCGCTCCTTCTCAAGGACGGGAGTTCATTTAAGACATAATATCATTTATTTACAACATAGTATCAGTGTTATTGTATTGCGGTGGCTTGGTAGGGCCGTTGCTTTGCTATGTGTGTGCCGGTGTTTCCAGAGTGAGTCCCCGGTGTTAACCGGCTGTGTTTATGTTGGTTGCAGTGAAGGAGAAGGAGCCTTTCGAGAAGCTCTATCAGGTCGGCGCGGTGTTGGGCAGCGGCGGCTTCGGTACCGTCTACTCCGGTACGAGGGTAGCCGACGGAGCTCCGGTTAGTATGCATTATTACTGTAATATTTGGTGGACATATTGCACTTTATACCAGCTGCTTTATGTTGTTGAACGTGTAATTTACGCGGGTTTTTGCTTCTTTGCTAGGTTGCTGTCAAACATGTGGCCAAGGACAGAGTCTCAGAGTGGGGAGAGCTGGTAAGAAACGATGTCTACTTTATATTTAAACAGTTTTATTGCTAATATCGACACAATTGACATGGAATAATATAATATGTTTTTATAAAAGGCACTTAAGTGAAATGTTTACAGTATTTTATTTCAATTGGGCGTTATTTTAGCACGTACACATGTAATTAATGCTGTTTGTTGTTGTCCTCAGCCCAATGGCTCGCGGGTCCCAATGGAGATAGTGCTGCTGAAGAAGGTCGGGACGGGCTTCCGCGGTGTTATCAAAATGCTGGACTGGTTCGAGCGACCGGACAGCTTCATCATCGTGATGGAGAGGCCCGAAAACGTCAAGGACCTGTTCGACTTCATCACGGAGAAAGGTGCCTTACCGGAGGAGCTGGCGCGGAGCTTTTTCCGCCAGGTGCTGGAGGCCGTACGGCACTGCCATAACTGCGGCGTGGTGCACCGGGACATCAAAGACGAGAACATCCTCATCGACCTCCGCACCGGGGAGATGAAGCTCATCGACTTTGGCTCTGGAGCCCTCCTCAAAGACACCATATACACAGACTTTGACGGTGAGTCATCGATGTGGTGTATTTGATAATTGTTTTATTGTCATTAGTAATCTTGCTCACAGTGGGGAGTCTGGCTGTTTTTACCGTCTCAGGCCAGTGGAGCTCTTTAGTCTTATGATTTGTGGCCGCAGACCCCGGCAGGAATTCCGAGGTTGTGTCATCTCTGACATCCCCCACTGCAAAAGCCTATTAATACTGGCTGAGCGGCATTACCCTTGCTTTGGCGCCCCCCATTGGGGGGAAGTGGTATTTTTACAACTCAAAGTTTGTAAACAAAGTCACATGTCCGCTCCCCCTCCCACACACACTCCTCTCTCACACACATAACACTGCCTGTCACGCTCCCTGGCACCTGAGCCCAGATAATACCCTCAGAAACAGGCTCAGCTGATAAACCTGCTTTCGTTTTCAGTTTGAGGATTTAATAAGTGATTATCAGTTACAAGAGATTGCTTCTGGTGGTTGTGTTCATTTCATCATTGCATTGTTATTTAACAAGGCTACAGTTTTTAAAGGTGTGTTTGTCTTTATTTCCTCCCACCTGACAGGCACAAGAGTGTACAGTCCGCCAGAGTGGATCAAATATCACCGCTATCACGGGCGCTCTGCCACAGTTTGGTCCCTGGGTGTCTTGCTGTACGACATGGTGTGTGGGGATATCCCATTTGAACACGATGAGGAGATCACAAGGGGGCAGGTCCTCTTCCGGAGGAGAATCTCATCAGGTAAATTCACCTTGCAATAACACATTTGAGCTTTTTGAGCGTGTGTGTGTGTTATAGTTCACTCTCAGTTTAGTGCTCCAGACTTATCACATGTCCTCTCCCCCCTCCTCCAGAATGCCAGCAGCTGATCAAGTGGTGTCTGTCTCTGCGGCCGGCCGACCGCCCATCCTTCGAGGACATCATCAACCACTCGTGGATGCAGAGCACGTCCTCCTCAGTAGTCCCATCCACAGTGCAGACAGAGAAGACAACTACAGAGATCAGGCTGCACAGCATCAGCCACGAGCCCACAGCTCGGTGATGGAGGTTCGCTCCGGTACAAACTGGACTGCGCTGACTATTACAAAAATACTTTATGTAACAGACTCGAAGCAGAATGGAGGAGGGAGGGAAAGGGGCAGCGCACTGGCTGACGGCCCAGACGAAAGTAAGGTAAAGGACTGCACAGAGAGGAGGCCGACTTCACGAAAAGACCACCAACCTTTGGTTTCAACTCGGCAGGCCAGACCCTCTCCACCCTCACAACCCCAACTACTTGATTTTCCCAGCCGTCGACCCACGTCAGCATCGGAATATCATCCTCGCTGGACTCTGACCCAGGCAACAGGTGTTTATCAGTCTGTAGGAGGGCGCCCGCTGTTCTGCTGAACGCCAAGCGAACAGTCTGAGTTATGTAACCTCTCGCCGCACTGTGCTCTCCCTCTGTTCTCTAGAGTGAGGAGAGCAGAGGCGCTGGTGATGAAGAGCGTGGTTTTTTAAAAAAGTGCCTTCTGTTAGATTGTTGGGGGACCCTGAAAATACTTGAATTTGTGAAAGCAAAAAGGCTCTTCTTCTCGATGGCCTTTCTGCTCCTTACAAGGCTTTATATTGTTTATTGCTGTGTGTTTTCCTCTCATGGGCCTAGATCAGTAAAGCCTATGCCATTTACAACCACTACTATCACTACTCCAATGTCATTAGCAACCAGACAACCTCATAGCTCCGGCAGCAACCTGTGCAAACAACAAAAAAACACTGGACTTACCTCACTCTCTTTTACTACAGCATCCGCCTCCACTCTACAACCTCCGCTTCCTCCTCTTTTCCTGTTGTACCTGTGTACAAACACAAGGCTTGGGCGAAGCGCCTGTTCACATCCACCTGAATGCACACCACAATGCAAACCTAACCATACCGAGATACAACATCCTCTGCTCTTTTTTTTTTTTTTTTTAATGTTCAAACAGTGCCTCACACAGGTCTTAAAATTTGGTGGAGACAAGAATTGTAAATAATAATGATATTTATTATTGCTGTGACTTCTTTCTCACACTCAATGAGCGCAGAATTTATTTATTTATTTATGAGAGAATTACGGCTGTACGCGTGTATTTCATTCCACAGTCACTGAAGGGCCCACGGATTATTTAAAAGAAACAAAGATGAGAAGATTTTTTTTACCATATTTATGGCTTGAAATTTTAAAAGAGCAGATGCCTGTGTGTATGTTTGTGTATGTAATGTAAATAACGTGTAAATAGTCCTGAAAAGCACTTCCATCTTAATGTATCTACACATTGAACGTCTACTGATGGTAACTGGTTTTGTTACGCTGTTGTCTGCTGTGGGAGCAAGTGAATGTTTGTGTGAGTGTACGAATGTATTTGTGTGTGTGTGTGAGAGAGAGAGAGAGAGAGAGAGAAAGATGCGAGAAAGAGAAAAACGTCTGGTGTAATGATTGCAGCTTGGATTGTTTTTTCATCCGTTCAAATTAGAATTGTAAATTATGTTAGAAACTATTTTTATACGATTTCAATAAATATTTTTTTAAACTATGACACATGACTACTTTCATCATTCATCATCAGTCATTCAATTCATGTATCAGTAAAAAAAATGTGTTGTATGATACAGTTAAGTTTGACTTTAGTAGTTTAACAGTGCTACATTCTGTACATAAATAGAATTTAGTGGGTCAGAATGAGCAGCTTTCCTGTTTGCAGAGAAGCAGCGGGTGTGGAGAATAGATGAAGAGATAAGAGGAGACACCAGCCTGTCTTCTCTTATCTCTTCATCTACTCTCCGTATCCGGTGGGGGGGGGGCTTACATATAGATGAGAAAACAAGCTCAAATCATGCGTACAACTGACTTCCTACTACACACAGATATTTAAGAAAGGCAAATAATCATTACTGATAGAAAAGTATTCAATCATACAAGATATGGACTCGTACTGTTTGAGAGGGTGTTTGATTTAGATGTGAGTAAAACTCATTTACCCTCTGAGTTCCCTGAACCTATCTTAAAATGCACACATGCAAGACAGCTTATGTCACAGACAAAAATTGAACATGAGGATTTCAGCTGCTGCTAGGGGTTTAAATGGAGACTTCTCAAAATGTCTCTCCTGTATTTACACAGCCATGTACTGTATGTTCTGTGTAATATCATTTATCTACCCTTATATCCACAGTCAAATTTTATAATTACCTTTACTTACTACAACCTACCACTACTAGTACTAGCTGGGCGAAGCACAAAATGAAAGTCTTTAAATCTGTCAAGGAATGAGGCTACAGTTTCTTAACATCCTGTTGATAGCTGTTACTCACTAGGGGTAGCTTTTTAAATTTTCCAGGAAAACACCTCTAGAACAATGGGTCAGGAATGTCAGACCTTCATCATTGTTGATACACACATATTCTGGACTGTTACAAAATCATAACATTTAGCCTTTTCCTGGCCCAGCCATTTTGCAGATGTGGGATAAAATGAGTAACCCCTAGTAACAGTCAATAATACAGTACAGTAGTTATATCAAATGCTTCGTACTATTGGATACAGAGCAACCTCATTTCAATAATATGTGCTTTGATTCAGTATAAATCTTGACCTTATTTTTGCGTTTTTAAAAGAAATTCAATCGATTAAGGCACGACAAATATGTGAAAGATAGATTTTATCTTGTGTAGTCACGTTTTGACACTTTTCACAGCAGATCTTGTGTTTCCACCTTTTAACAGAAAAATTCTGGGGGGCTTTTCCTTAACATACTAAATATAGTGGTTATTAAAGGGTTAAGCTCTGGTTGCTCCTCATCAGCGGTGGAAAGTAACTACATTGACTCAAGATCTGTTCTTTACTAGTTTCCCGTCAATATCCTCCTAATAATTACTACTTACTGATAGTAAGTAAGAAAGACTTCATTTACAGTTATTTGGACACTAGCGATGAAACAATATACTCCACTCATGATTCCATACCATTCATGATATTGGGTTCACAATACAATTTTCTCATGATTCTTTTAACAAAATGAGACTGAAAAATTACTGAAAAAGATTTTCTCAGGCAAAAGTCTACAAAATATATTTTCTCTCTCCAAATGATAGAATCCTTTTTTATTACTGAGGTTGGGTATAAACTGCAACACAATGCATATTTCCTTTTGTGATGTGAAACTGATGTCTTTGCTTTAATACCACAACTGATATCACAAGTCATTTCTCATCTCACTGATTTGAATCTAACTGGCTCTCGATATAGCTTCACATTCCTAATTAGCACTTGTAGTTTGGTGTTTTGTTACATAAGGCCATATTTATGAAGTGTTATTAAGAGAGAATGAGTATTGTTGTGATACTACCACCTCATAAGGTCCATACTTAAGATCATAATTTATGTACAACTTTCTTACTTACAACAATAAGCAATAATTAGGAGGTTGTTGAGGGAAAACTCTTAGTTAATGGCCTAGTAGTTGTAGAATACGGTCATGCAGAATAAGGCTTTAATAGGTGCTTTATAATGACTAAATAATATATGCTACTAATATGCATGCTGATATGTGTACCTTCATATAAAGTTCTACCATATTCCAATAATATAATGCATACTCAACTGTAAGTACCTTTTGCTGATAATACTTGCAGGACTATTACATATTTTACACTGTTAATTGTAATGTTTTTACTTAGGTAAAGGATATGAGTACTTCTCCCACCATTAGATATACAATAATCCCCCTCTGCCAGTGTACAGCTGGAATGTGGGCCACTGCCTGTCGTCATGGGTTAAATCCCACTAACAAGCTGCAGATGCTGTTGTGTGTTAATCTAGACATTGATAGTAACCAGCAGGCAGCAGCCTATCATGGATCTGCTCCCTTGGACAGATAAGAGTTGTAGGTTTAATCAGTTGTGATGCCCCCCGTGGGACTCCTGGCCTCACCGCTAATCCCCCCCCGACAGCACTGCTGGGACCCCACTTACAGCAAAACCAAGATTTACACAACAGCCAATGACATGGAGGCTGGAAACGCTGCTGCTCCCATCAGCCTCGGTTAGTGTCTGTCAGGTGAATGCAATGTGTGTTTACCAGCTGTGATTTGAATGGATGGATGCGGAGGCCATGATGCTATCATTGTACCATCTCTTTAAAGCATCTGCAGTTCCCCTCAGTGCTACTGAGCTTTTAGATTCTTTCAGCTCATTATTTTAGTGTTTTGGCTCAGTCTCACAGCTCTCAAGGTGTTTTCAGATGCAGCAGGCAGCTGCTTTTGGTAACAAGCTCTAAAGCTGTATGCTACCTGCCTAGCCCCAAACAGCTGACAGTGAGCTGTTAGTGGAACTTGTAGGAGCTAGAGACCAAAACAGAGTGAATATTGAAGTGAATGTTGGACTTTTGATATTTGTTGGAAAGGCAAAGACTCCAAATTAATGCTAATGATCCTCAGTGTCTGCTGGAAGCCTAAAAGCACTGGCTAACACATTTATAATATTAACTTAAAATGTGATGACATGTTAATGTCGTGTTTAGCCTGTTTCTGCTGCCCATGAGTGACCAAAATATCATTTGTTGCTGGTTTAAGGATACGTTTTAGCCATGCTAGTGATGTGGCTATAGGGATGGCAGTGTCAACAGATCCACCACTTTGGCTCAAACTGAAATATCTCTAATAATCCAAAATCTCTAACAAATATCAGATGAATTGCTGTGAAATGTTGCAAAGACATTCAGTGTCCCCAGAGGGTGAATCATACTGACTTTGGTAATCCCCGTACATCTCCTTTAGCGCCACCATGAGGTTGAAATTAGTGGTTTTGAGTGATATGAAATGTCATAGTATGAAATTTGGTACAGATGTTTCCCTGTCGAATGGATTACAATAGCTTTAGTGAGCTCTCAACTTTTTTATCTAGCGTCATCATTCGATCAAAATATGAATTTCTCCAGTACTTTGGTTTGTTAACTACGGAAGCCCTAAAGGGCCATGCATTCATACATTTTATTTCCTCCGTTTTCCCGTGATAACGAGTTAATTAATTCGAGATCTCGAGATAACGACTGTGATATGATAACTGCGGTCAAGCCAGCCGTTACTCCGATCTCCGTGGTCAAATCAGCCGCACTTAAATTTACAGCGTATTCACTTCCGGTTTTCCAAATAAAGGTATTAAGAACAATAAGCTATAATTCAAACCTACATTTAAAATAAAATATGTTACATTAAAGTGTTTCATGCGCCCATGATGAATAAAAAACATACTTAATATCAAGCATTTCTACTGTACCAATTTGGAGAAATGCCAAAACAAAAGTTCTATATTTGTACCTCCAAGTGGCATCTTTTCTCATATTATATATAATATATCATATAACCCCATGTTTCTATGTTTCAGTTTAGGCGGAGCTGCATAAGTGACACATGGGTAATTATTGTTTAGGACATTACTCATTTGCAAAACAGGTTTCAAGTCAAGATCATCCCAAGGGTTTTACTGATGCCTCTCCACACACACTTACAGAGTCAACCTCTGTGGGTCACACTCCTTCAGCCCCATCTAATCCTCAAGCTATCCCTGATATCTGTAATATCTGCAATCTACTTCTGCAAGCCTTCATCCCATCTATCTCACATTTTATCCTTGAAAGATTCTAAGACACGGGTCTTCAACGTATTTCAGGCCAAAGAGCTAATAGAGAGATGGAGCAGGGACCCCCCTACTACATATGTTGTGTAAAATTGAGTTGCATATAAAACTGGGCCAACAATAACGTGTAGGTAGCCTGTAGTTCCTTGTTTAAATGTATCATGCATACAATAATAAGCTATTAAAATAAAGAATACTGACAGATTCATATGCACCTGTGCAATGTCTATTTGAAAATTATATGTTGAATTTAAAACTGATATAAGTAGTAGTATTTTCAGACATGTTTAAATGCCCCGGCTTCTAAGACATACATGTTTGAAGTCACAAAAATACCAAATCAAAGACCAGTGGAGGCTACGCGCAACTCACAGAATACATTTTTGTATCAGATAATAATAGACAGAGGTCAAAGGAAACCAGCCCTAAAAATAAAATGTCATCTCCAACATGAATTTAAACTGCAGTGTCAGTCTTCAGTAGTCATTTTGGTGCTGGCTTTCTTCTGCAGGTACTCAGACAACATACAATTTCCTTGAAAAGATTACAGCATATTGGCGACCACAGGTAGTTTCCGCGAATGACACCACCACTCATTTCCCCCCTCATTCTGAGAACCACCACATGCCACATCAAACTCTGCATGTTGGTTCGTGTGTTTGAACGTCCTAAATTGCAGCCAGGACATTCTATTGTTCTAAAGATTGCAAGCATTTAAGCTGAAAAGCAGGACTTCTTTGGGTCAAGTTCTACTTCTTGAGCCTTTATGCTCTAAGAGATGCAAACAGGGTCATAGGTAAAAAACTAAAAATAGAATTGGAGCATTTAGCCGTATAATTCATCAGATTGTTTCCGCTGCCTCCAATAGGCCAAAGTCATTGCAGGTTTAAAAAAAATAGTTTGA